GGGGCTCAGCCTAGGACACCCCAGCCCCTGGACAAAGCCAATTTCCTGGAACATCAGCCTTGGCAAAGCTGCAACACAGCACCCCACCTTGTCTGAACTGTGAGGCCCCTGGTCCATCATGGAGGCAGCAGGTGCTCAGCAAAGACTCACCTACAGGGAGCCTCACCCAGGTGTCTGGGGCACCCAGGATTCAGTCTCACCACATACCCCAGAGCCAGGGACTTTAGGATGCTTCTGTCTTCTGATCTGGAAAAATCTCTCTGGTACAGGAAATACTTAATAGTTAATTCCATCATGGAGTGGGCCTCAGAGTCAGCACAGCCAAGCAGCTTCAGAGCAAACGAGGGGAAGAAAGGATCACCTTGAGCTCTTTTCTGTGGTAATTCACAATTTTAGGAACTAGTCGTTACATAGCATTTTATCCGAGGCTTTGATTCCACACCATAAATCATCCATTGAGGACCAGAAAGCTCGGGGCTGACATCAGGAACAAGGAGGAGAGGGCAGGAGGCCAGAAGTAGGGAGGCCCCTGCCCCAGACCTCAGCCTTTGGGGCAGGACCCTGCTCTAGATACAGAGACTGCCCTCGGGATGCAGGTGAGCGAGAGACACCAACCAAGTAAGAACATGGCGTGACGGGTCCCCAGAACAGGAGGGGCTGCTGTACTCAGTGTCGGGGCTCCTGGTTGAGAAGACCCCAGGAGAGAACTGAGTCTTCTCCCAAGGTCTTGGCCTGTGCTCACATTTGTTTTCCAGATCTCAGGAGATTAGGAATTTTCTGTCTACTTGTTCTTTCTTCCTGCCTTATGTTTTAAATTCACCCAGAAAGAGTGACTCTCACGTGGGCCCTGACCCCCAGTGCCAATAAAAGAACCCCAGGGGCACCGAGCTGTCTCTCCCTCCCCAAATACTCTCGCTGGATGGCCCCAGGCCTGCCTGTCCTCTTAGGACCTGTGAGGAATAAAATTGCAGTTTTTCTAGTGTCTTGGGGGTTGTGGCTGGTGGTGACTGACAAACCTCATAAGAACCTCAAAGCCTGGTCCAGCCACAGCATGGGTTCTGAAGAGGGTGTCTGTGAGCTCCTGGGGACCCAGGTGAGAACCCCAACTAAGACCCTTCACCAAACAAGAACATAGTAAAACAGAAAATACTTGTAAATTTAAAGATACAGTTGAAATAAACGATGGATAAGGGGAAATTAGAAGGAAAATAAGAAAACAGGTTGAAGAGAAGACATGCAAACATGGTCTGTCAGAATTCATTGGGTGCCATAAACTCAGGAAGAAATAAAAGCAATGGCTTGAGGTTATGGCTTAAAAAGTGAGAAAAAGATAGGGCCTCCCTGGTGTCAGGGGTTAAGTCTCAGTGCTAAGAAGCTACTGCAGCCACTACAGCACAAGTTCAAGCCCCAGCTGGGAAGCTGACCCACATGGCGCAGCAGACTTCGCCTGTCTCCCCGGCTGCTCCCCTCAGCGGTGTGTTTCAGTTGTCTACTCCCCACTGTCTCTGGTGAATCTGCTCACCCCCTGCACCTCTGGCCTACACCCCAGTTCTTGTGTTCATAAAAAATGAATAAAAAATCCGAAAAAGGGGGAAAAAAAAGAACGAGGAAAGAGAAAATCGATTAAAGTGCAGAAATCCATAAAGTGACATGAAAAATTTACTCAAAAGGCCGCCAGGGAGAGCCCAGCTCACTGGTTTTTATCAGAACTGCATCAGAATCACCTGCTGAGGGGACCAGCTCCTGCCAGGCAGCCAATGCTCAGGCTGCAGAGGGGCTGTGGACAGGAGCCTCCAATGGAAGAAATGAGTTTCTAATTGACTGGAAGGGGGCGGGGTGTGGGAGCAAGAAGGCAAGGTGTGAACCCAGCCAGAAGGGAGGCTGACTCTACTTTCGGGTGCACAGAATGCCAGGGTTTTATTGAGGCCACAAGACTGTTGATCTGTGGCCTCGCTTTCCTGCATGGCACAGACTGGGGTCCCTGACAGGCACCTCTATTCTGCCCCAGGGCTGTCAACCCCAGGAACCAATTCTCACACTGCAAGCCCTGCCCCCAGCTGGTACCTGTGTCTACCTGGCTCCTAGGCCCTGAAGCCTCAACACAGACTCCTGTGCTGCCCTGTTCTGCCTCCATCAGCCCGCAGCCTCCAGGCCGAGACACTCACCTGGTATCTGAGAACCTGCTGGCTGGTCCCCAACCCCCCTGGGATGGGGCATCCCAGTCTGAGGTTCTGAGTTTGGAGAATTCAGTTGTCCGAGGCCGGAAGTTGTTGCCTACAACTAGATATTGAGAGGCAGAGACTACTTTCATAACTGTTATTATAGTATATTTTGTTTGTGATATTAATTACTTATATGCTTAATTAATGTTAAAACTTATCACGGGTATACAGAACAGGAAAATGCAGCTTGCACAAGATTATGTAAGAAAAAATTTTCAGACATCACCTAGGGATGTCGGATCACACCCCAGTGGGCACCCCCACCCCTCCCCCAGGACAAAAGAGGGCTGGAGTATCCCTGTCACACCCTGGTCAGTGCAGCTGCAGCCAGTGTCCCCACCCTGGCCAGGCCCTGACCCAGGAGCCCAGAACTGTGTCTGCGGAGAGGTGGAATTCCAGGTGGGCTGTTCTGTGACCCAGGCCACCCTGCCTCAGTTTCCCCCTGTCTGTTTCCAGGTGGGTTCTGGGTTCCACACCTGTTTTTCATTACCAAT